GTCTAAACCAGGTCTAAACCAGGTCTAAAAGCAGGATTAAACCAGGACTAAACCAGGTCTAAAAGCAGGATTGAACCAGGTCTAAATCAGGTCTAATTCAGGTCTAAGAGCAGGACTAAACCAGGACTAAACCAGGACTAAAAGCAGGACTAAACCAGGACTAAACCAGGACTAAACCAGGTCTAAAAGCAGGATTAAACCAGGACTAAATCAGGTCTAAACCAGGATTAAACCAGGACTAAACAATATGACACTACCAGTAGTGTGGACATAATTGAAGGCAGCAGTGATCTCATAAAAATCATTTCTCTATCAATAATATTTTTAATTTGATTAAGGAAAGACTAGACTTTTTATTTTCTTTTAACAGATAAAACATCTTATGTTCAGATCTTCATCTTTCCTTCTCTACAGTAAACAAAAGTCTGTTCATGGAGACTTGGGCTCAACAGACAATTTGAAGAGAACAAACAAGAGTTTTCAGGATGTGGTTGTTACATTCATGTAGTTTTAAAAAACATGACAATATCAAGTAATCCAAAGTATTCAGATTACATTACTCACTTTAAGTAATTTAATGGATTACGTTACAAACTACATTTTAGGGGATGTAATCTGTAATCTGTAGGGGAATACATTTTAAAAGTCACCTTCCCAACACAGGCTTCATCCTGCTTGTTTCTATGGAAATGCTGTTCCTTTAGCTACAATTTCCCCCAATATCCCATAAAAAAAATCCATGGAAGACTGTACCTCAAAATAAATGAAAAGTTAATTTGTACAATACACATTCTATTGTATCTACAACATCTATATATCTGTAGAAATATGTCTCGATACGATATATTTCAAATCGATTCAATACGGTTCAATGTCTAAATCATGGCTGTGACACTAAAATATTTAGTTAAACCACGTCTTGTGCAAAGTTCACATGAAACACAAGCAATTTAATCATCAAAACAGTGAAAATGTGTTGCATAAATGAGTTTTCTTCCTCTAAACAAGCAACAAAACTGTAACTGTAACAAAATCATTGAGTAAAATATACCAAAAAATACTCTTGGTGATATATCGATACAGCAGCTCACGATATCAATACTGTTTCATCACATTAAACAATACGATATATCGATATTTTTGCACAGCCCTAATGGAAACTGCAGAATATTCTGTCATTCATGTACATGTAGAGTGAAAATGTGCTGTTTTGAGTTCCAGAAATTTTGTGTTTTTTGTATTTTTTTTGTTTTCCAGAAAAAACTTAAAACTTTTTTAACAATTTTACATTTATTTTTTTGAAAAGGAGCAGTTTATTCATTAAAGATATAACTAGTGTGACCAGTGTCCTAACCAATATACGGGACATACAAGGTAAATGAAAAGGATCGAAATTGAGCGATTTAGACTTAGACTAGTTTTTCGGTTTGCGTTTGTTAAAACCCTGACACACGCACTGGACACTGGAAGGTGGTGCTGTTGACATTAGCACTGTGCAAAACATTGGCCTCTCACGGTACAGAAAATGGGGAATTTCTTGTACAAATCATTGTTAAATGCGTATTTGTGCTTCAGCATGTTGCAGACTGACAGACTGACTGTTTGTGTCTGCTCGCTCCTTCTGAGTTACAGAGATGCGAGAGACGCCCAGTTTAATGGCCCAATGAAAGATCATGAAAACCTGAACATTTGCATCACTTATTAAAAAAAAAAAAAAAAAAAAAAAAAAAAAAAAGACCCAGACGGCCAGGACAGAATGTGAAAAACGGACATGTCTGGAGAAAAACGGACGTTTGGTCACCCTAACTTAGACAAACTTGACTGATCCACAAGGGAAATGATTTGGACAAAGTAGCTCACACATCGAAATGTTAAAATAAATTCATTCATTCCTAAAAGTCATCTTATGTTCTCTGCTTCCTTGTCCAGACACATTACCACTGATCGTTACTTTACTTTAAAACATTTCAAATCAACATATTTCATTTCAGTCACAAATATGAATCAATTACAAACAGAAGTCTTCACTTTTATGCACAACAGCTTAGTTTTTAGTGTCTTTGCTATAGGGTATGCTTTGTGTCACCATGGACATTTCTCAACATACATCTAGAACAGCCCCAGCGCGAGGTCATTGCAAAGGATCAATAGGCTTCACGGTGGTTGGAGATTAAGTTTTGCTTTGCTTTTGTTCAGCAGCTAGAATTTCTACACTGATATTCACATTCATAACACACATTCACCACGACAGGGAGACAACGCTGGGCGAATTACACCAGGATCTGCTGATGGATCATGGACGCCTGGACTAAGGATCAGTCTCAAGTGTCGTCCGTTTGTTTCACTTAATGCTAATTATAGGCGAGTTTCAGCTGACATTATTGTTATTAAAAGCCCGCGTTGCATGTTGGGAAATATTTTGGTCAGAGGCAAGAAACAGGATAGCATAACCTCGCGTATTTATCCCCGATAATGGTAAATTCCTGCTGCATTATCGGATGCACAAATAGAAGCACGGAAGAAGGAAAATGTCTTTTTCGTATTCTGAGTGAAAAGAACCACTAACGGTGAATTAAACGACTTTCAAACATTCACAGAGCAAACGTAGAAGATCCTAACAAACCGTGGACTCCAACAAGTTCAACAACACATCGAGACTCTTGGAGGTTTTCATCTTTTCTGCTGTGAATGGCCCAGGAGTTTCCACCAAGTCATTGTGGATATCACCCAAGTGAATATTTGTCCATTTAGTTGGAGATTCTGACCAGAAATTTGGTTTGGTCCACCTTTTGTAGGGGTTAAAAAGGGTGATTTGGCGTCCGTCAATGCTTATGACCAATTTCTGGTCAAATGGATTGATAAGGGTGGATAAATAACCGGGATCAATACCCTTTACGTGCTTTCTCGCTCCGTCCGTCATGTTGAATTAGTGTTTCTTGCCGCCGACCAAAATACTTCCCAGCATGCAACACGCACACTTTTGTCAACAATGAAACTCGCCTATAATCCAGTGCAATTTATGTATGAAAATAGACGAGAAAATTCAACATTATTGATACTGTGCCTTATAATCCTGTGCGCCTTATAGACGGAAAAATAGGGTACATTAAATGAATGAAAAGGCTTCATGGCGGTTGGAGTTGAAGTTTATTTTTTGCTTTTGTTCAGCAGCTAGAATTTCTACACTGATATTCACATTCATAACACACATTCACCACGACAGGGAGACAACGCTGGGCGAATTACACCAGGATCTGCTGATGGATCATGGACGCCTGGACTAAGGATCAGTCTCAAGTGTCGTCCGTTTGTTTCACTTAATGCTCCTTATAATCCAGTGCAACTTATGTATGAAAACAGACGAGAAAATTCAACATTATTGATACTGTGCCTTACAATCCTGTGCACCTTATAAACCGAAAAAATAGGGTACATGCCGCCTCGTCCCTTTTCCAGACACATTAACACTGATCGTTACTTTAAAACATTTCAAATCAACATATTTCATTTCAGTCACAAATATGAATCAATTACAAACAGAAGTCTTCACTTTTATGCACAACAGCTTAGTTTTTAGTGTGTTTGTTATAGTGAGTGCTTTGTGTCACCATGGAAATTGCTGAACATTCTGCCACGCACATACATCTAGAACAGCCCCAGCGCGAGGTCATCAGTGTTTGAAGTAACGCGTTATAAAAGTAACGAATTACAGTAATGCATAGCTTTTTGCTGTAACGCAGTAATGTGGCATTACAGGGGGAAAAATAGTCATTTTAACCTGGATTGAAGTGGTGGGTTTTCCTTCGTACAAATTCGCTAAAATCACTGCGATATCAGCAGCGGTGAAACGCCATAGACACGGCCACGTAGACTGTCAGTTAACCGAAAGGACCGACGCTAGACGCTGGTTTAGACCTGGTCAGTTCTGGTTTAGACCTGGTTTACAGTCGTCCGAAGTGCTGTATGTTTGCAAGTTTTCTCCCTGACAAAATCCACAGCGTCGACGAAACTTTCTGCACCGACAAAGGCTCCTGCGCTCACACCCAAAAGACAGAGGAAGATGTAACCATCGCACAAAAAGTTGGACTTCTGGACACGCTGAAGAAGGTAGAAGTTACACACTGTAGCAGAGTCCTGCACCGGGTCAGGTGCCCACAAACAGTTGCTGAAATCAGAACCGCGAGCCCCCGCAGCAGGGTGTCCATAAAGTGCGAGTGGGCGACAGCCGCTCTTACCTCCGTGAGGTACGGAGCAGAGCCGCTCCTTTCTACTGCGGTCTCCTAGTACAGTTCCGGTTTAGTCCTGGTTTAGTTCTGGTTTAGACCTGTTTTAGTCCTAGTTCAGTCCTGGTTTAGGTTTAGTCCCTCTTCAGTCCTGGAATCCCAGTCCTAGTCCTGTTAGTCCTGTTATAGTCCTGGTTCAGTCCTGTTAGTCCTGGTTAGTCTATAGTCCTTCAGTCCTGTTTAGTCCTGGTTTAGTCCTGGTTCAGTCCTGGTTCAGTCCATATATGGCGCAAAAGTTCAGCATTTTCACAGTTATTTTGGTGAGAGTAACTTAAAGTAATGCAATAGTAATGTAATGCCTTCCATTTTAAATGCAGTAATATTGTAATGTAACAAACGACTTTGAAATGACAGTAATTAGTAATAAATAACGCATTACAGTTTTAAAGTCACTTGCCCAACAGTGGAGGTCATTGCAAAGTATCAATAGGTTTCACGGTGGTTGGAGTTGAAGTTTTCTTTTGCTTTTGTTCAGCGGTTAGGATCTCTACAGTGACACCTACATGGCAGAAGCTGGTACTGCACTCAGACGTTTTGTGACCGGGCTTCCTCTGCTCTACACAACAACGACATCTCCCTCGTCATGATCTAAATCAGGTTGTACAGAGATTGCAATACCAAACATGTTGACATCTCATTCATTCCAGTTCGTGTTGAGACCAGCTTTTGTTCTGATTCACGTGACACAGATTAAGTAGAGGAGGGTGGTTCAGCAGGTGCAGCAGGCTGTGGGTTAAATTCCCTGTGCGCAGAGATCTGTCACAGCTGGACGATGTCTGGAGGACGAGTGCTTTTGTGGACACTGATCCTGAACGGGCTGCACGTCTCAGGTGAGTGAAATAGACTCTAGAAAATATTTGAGTGTTGAAAAATGTTATTTATTTGCTACAACAACCAAGATTTTTATAGTTTTGTGGTATGTCTGATTTGGTTCAAGATGTGTGCATTAAGAAAATATATTTTGAAAGTGTCAAATAATGTAAATCCAAACTATGTATATATATATTTTTTAGTTTATATGGACACAGTTATCAAATGTAATATATGTATTTTACTTCACAGATAAATGATATGTTTTTTATAATAGGAGAGGAGAGTACTGTTAACTGACAACTCTCAAGTTTGTGTAACTTTTCCAGTGGAGGGTTCGTCAGATGTGCTTTGTCAGGGATGTTCTTCAGTATGACATTTCTATCTTTCTATCTTCATGGAGACTGAACCAGACCAAGTTACAGGTCAGATCTGTGGAGAGGCGACCCGCTCACAGTCAGAATGTCTGTTTTTCTAGGTTTTTTTGAGCTATAAAACCACATGTAATTGAATAAATGTAAAGTAGAGCTGTTTAATGTCACTGTGGAACATTCCAGGCAGAGCAATGATACATCCATAAAAACAAAAGTTGCATAGTGCACCTTTAAACCATCTTTTTTTCATAGAGACAGATGTAATTTTGTGCTGAAGTTGTGAATTTTGCAGGTTTTCATGTTTATGTTGAGACGTTCACTTCAGCAGATGTTGCGAATCATAAACCAGGTTCTAACACGTAGAACGTCTGACAGAGCCATAGATTTCTTATCTGGTCTCCTTGTCAGTGCGAAACCATGGGTTTGTTACACTGTTGAGACATCACATTAAAAAAAAAAAAAAAAGAACAGTCAGCAGTTTTTGGGGAAACAAATAAAAAATCTTACATCACAAATATTTTGTGGTGTTATAATAGTACTGTTCACTGCCCTTATCTTTATAATTAATTTATTTATTTACATTTTAGGTAAACTTGCATGCTTTGTGTTCACAAACTGCCAAAATAATGATTTAAAGTACTACGTGAACCTATCACACTGTCTGCAGTTTTAAGCTGCAGTTCTACTGTCTCAGCTGCTGCACTTCTACTACCAACTAGGATGACCAGACGTCCCCAAAAAGTTCCTGGACAGTCCTCGAAACCCGGAATCCCAGCTGCAGCCCTAAATGTCCCAAAAATGACACTCACACAGAATACTGAGAAGTTATTTTCTGCTAAACATTAAAAAGTGTTAGAGAGTGAGAGAGAGTCGAGTGCACTCAGCCCCTGACGGCTTTTAAGTAGCTGAGTTCAACCCCGGCTACAATCGATCTATTTTATTTATTTATTTATTTATTTCTACAGTTAAGCGTGAATCTGCACTGACAATAATAATCTACTTTTCATTCACTGGACATGGCTGGTGAACAAGAACCCCAACACACAGCTAAAAAACAAAAGCATCAGTGCAGGTACCAGGAGGAGAGGGTGGGGAAGGACCTGTGCATTATCAAAGCTCTAAGCGATGAAATGAAACCATTCTGTAGCTCGGGAGCCACTAGTAGCTCTGCACCCCCTTCCAAGTCACTCGCCAAGGGATTTCTGAATTATATGCATTGTGATGAGTAACAATTTTTTTATTAATTAAATCACTATTACCACTGTAAATGTATAATTTTGATGCCTAACTTTGTGCACTAGAGATGTAACAATAACTGAAATATTGTGCTATCGTCAGTGTTGGGGAGTAACAGATTACATGTACCCGAGTTACGTAATCAGAGTACAAATTATGAGTAACTGTATTCAGTTACAGTTACTGTTTCAGTGAGTGGTAATTGGATTGCAGTTACTTTGTTGAAATAAATGGATCACACTACGGGATTTTCCAGTTTTTACATTTTGGGCTATATCCCTTTTTTTCCCCTTTTTTTTTCTTCATAATTGCACTCATTGTCGGACACTGAACCAGGTCTAAAACCAGGTCTAAACCAGGTTTAAAACAGGTCTAAAACAGTTCAAAAACAGATCTAAACCACGACTAAACCAGGACTAAACCAGGACTAAACCAGGATTTAGCAGGACTGAACCATGCCGCATGGACCATGTCTCCTCCTCTTCTATCAGTAATGTTTTTTAATTTGGTTCAGTAAAGTCTGGACTTTTTATTTTCTTTTAGCAGACAAAACATTTTATGTGAAGATTTCCTCATCTTTGCTTCTCTACAGCAAACCAAGTAATCCAAAGTATTCAGATTACATTACTCACTTTAAGTAACTTAATGGATTCCATTACAAACTACATTTTGGGGTATGTAATCTGTAATCTGTAGGGGAATACATTTTAAAAGTCACCTTCCCAACACTGTATATCGTATCGTCTAAGTTCTCACAATAATATCGTGGGCCACAGAATATATCAAATTACAAGTCTCTTTGCTTAAATGAAGAGTTATGCAGCAATAGCTTAAAAAAAAGACAGAGGGAACTACACAGACCATGATCCTTTGCTCCATTTCACTGTAAACTACAAGAAAAAATAACATTTCTAAGCACTTTTGAGTTTTAGTTCTTTGGATTAAGTCTTGTCATGACATTTTAAGAGGAAAAAGCAACATATTAATAGTTTCGTTTGTTACCCTCCACAAAATTTCACAATAAATATCGGACCATCATTTGATATTGTTACATCCCTAATCATGAGCCTCTCCAACATATCATGAACTTTCCCTCGATATCGCAGTAAATATCGTACCGTGAGGTTCATACCATGGCAATATCGTATCGTGAGACTTGGATATCGTTACACCCTTATTGTGCACTAATAAATGGTTTAAGATTTATATTGTGGTCTGGTCAAAATGGTAACGGAGGGAAACAGGGGCAGATTTTTGACATTCAAATGTCACTTCCATATCCTTAACAAACTGGTTTGAATATTTGCTTCATATAGTTTTCTACCATATGGTACAAGATTAGGTTGAAAAACCTCTGACTTTTTGACTCATGAGATTTTTTATTAAGAAAGGTCATGGGAGGGAAAAGTAACGGAGGGAAAATTGTTCAACAAGTAGAAGGTGCAGGATTTTACATCATTTGTCGACTTTTTTTCTTCCAAATATTTTAATATTACTTCAAAATGAAACTAAACTATTTCGATTAAATATGTCAGTCCTTCCAAGCAAATTTTTATAATTTTAAATTTTTTATTATTATTTTTTTTTAATCCTGTACCTTCATCAACAGTTCAAAGATCAAATAACACAAGATATGATGAAATACATCCATTTATTTGACATGATTTGCAGGTCTTTGAAATTTGGGAAATAATTTTTGTTCCATGTTTCATACATGGTCTGTTTAAAACATATGGAACTTTAGAACCAAAAATGGTACAGAAAAAAGGTCAACAGTTTCATAAACTAGAGTACATATGTATCTGTTCAATACATTTTTATATCAGATGCATTCACTTGAATTTTTAATCTGCTGTTTACTTCTGCCCATACTTAGTTTCTTGCACCTGCTAAAATGAGTAGCTCTAGTGTATTTGTTTTGTAAAGGTAGGTCACTGGAGGAAAAACCCTGCTGTAAAGTGTGTAGAAAAGAGTTTGTCTATGTACAGTACATTAGTGAGTCAGCATTGATCATTCCATATGACATACAGAGAGTCCAAAGTGTCGCAAGTGTCTACCAGGAAATAGACACTTGGTAACAACAGTGACCGGTTGGGGTTTTCCTTTGTTTACTGTAGCATTTAGTCGTACGTGTCTGTATCATGTATTAAGCCTGTAAACAGAAACTAACCGCTGGTCTCACGAAGGCGGTTCGGATGTCTATTTGTTTGTTATTTGTTTACAGTAATCATGTGACTCAAGATTTTCCATAAGTGACCTCACTATGAAGTCATATTGAAAACATAACCACAATACACAGATCAACAAATACTGCATCCATCTTGCATAATTTACTCACTCATACTTAGTGGTGAAATACAAGTGTAGCCACAGCTGCCCTGGGGCTGAATCACAAAGATGAGGCTGCAGGTTTGCCGTCGAACCGCACAAAGTCACATACGCATTCATACTTAGACAAGGTGGTTGAAGTGTCTTGCCCAAGGACACAACATGGCACTACAACCTTCTAAACCACCAATTGAAATATAGTAAGTGATCACATTTTTATACAACGCTTTTCCACCTTCAAGGCAATAAGGAGCCACTCACCCCTTCACACACACACACATTCACACAGCAGTGTACACAGACACTGGGAGCGAGGTGGGTTAAGTGTCTTGCCCAAGGACACAATGGCAGCATTTATCTGTGGGAGCTGGAATCACACCAGCCGATCTGACCAATGATGTTTATGGTTGAGCGGGATTCAGTGGACAAACGCTTTACCAACTGAGCTGCTGTCGCCCAAATTAAGCCACAGTATGTAACATTTTGGCCATAATAGACCTAAATACAAGCATGTTTTTGTTTGTTTTTTTCATTATGGTTGTGTTTACTGATCTGAAAAACATAAAAACATGCACGCTTACTGTGTGTGGGCTTGTTTCCATGGAAACTACACCAGCGTTGTTTCACTGGTTTCCTGTTTTAAGATTTTATTATTTGTTTTTAAAGCTTTGAATGGACTGGCCCAACAGTACTTCTCGGACCTCATCCAGATTTACACCCCTGCACGCTCTGAGGTCCGAGGGCCAGCTCCAGCTCGTGTGGAGCCTAAAACAAGACTTAAAACCAGGGGGGACAGGGTTTTCTCTGTGACCGGCCCCAAACTCTGGAACACTCTTCCTCCCACGTCCCAACAGCCTCACAGTGGAGAGTTTGAAGTTTCATCTTATGACCCACTTTTACTCTCTGGCTTTTGAGTTGTGTGCTCCTCTTTGCCTTTTATTAATTTTATCATTTATTTATTTATTGTTTTTATCTATTATATTTTATTTATTTATTTATTGATTGTTAACAGATTTTTTATTATTATTCGTGTATCTATTGATTCTATTAGTTTCTTTTGTTTGGAACATAATTCTGCAGACTTTTTTGAGTTAAATGTTTTACATTGCTATGTGAAGCACTTTGGAAGTCTTGTTTATAAAATGTGCTATCCAAATAAAGTTGGATTGGAAATGTTGTTCCTCTTTTGGCTATAATCTTCTAGCCAGGCTGACTCCACCTAGTGCCTCTGCTCAATTTCATTTCTCTCCAGCAACTAGATCAGGAATCAGAATACTCTAGACTGTTTGCAAGAACCCTGGAAGTGCGTGTCCGGGCACCAGCCAATCAGCAAACAACCATATATTCAGTAGAGCCCGACCGATAAATCGGTTGGCCTATATTATCGGCCGATATGCTTGCTGATAGGGGCCGATATTTCACGTGGGCATGTCATACCTCGTTAAAAAGTTTAGACTCTCTACATTATGTTCATTTAATCCAATTTAACAGACAGATAAATGTCCTAATATGTGGCTCCGCATCAGTATTTATCTACGGAGTCATTTGTCAGTGTGTGTGTCCGTACTGTCCCTGAACACACCACAGAGTCATGTGTGTTTGTTTACACCTGCAGACATAGTTCCATGTGCAACACTGAGATTATTTTCTTTTTACGGACAATCGGTTTGAGTCTGGATTAAAAGGACTTTTATTAGTTCAGACTTGTGATGTGGGAGGAGCCTGTGTGAGCGCTGAGTGTTGGAAATACATCAACTTTGAAGCTAGTTTTGTTTCGTTTTGATAGGTTAGCTATTAGCTGCTGTAGCTCCCCCACATAAATAATCTGTTTTCTATTGGTCTATTGTAAAGTGATTATATTGGCCGTATATTTGTTACTGGACCTGCATTGATATGTAAATGAGCTGTGAATACTTGCGCATATAATTAATTACCGCGGCGCGCAGCATTTACGTCTAAAGGCTAATAGCGATAGTTTATTTACTCTCTAGTAGTGATGGGTCGGTCATGAACGAAGCGGCTCTTAGAGTCGGCTCTGTGAAGTGAATGACGGGAGCCTGATCCTTATTGGGAGTCGTGTTTTCTCTTTCTCTCACTTTTTTCTCTTATCACGCCGCGTGCAGACTCGTGGTAGTTTGACAGCACCAGCGGCTAAAAACGAAACTTTCAAAAATCTGCGTGTGCATAGGAGAGAAAAAAAGTACATATATATATTCAGCATAAAATAAATAAACCAGGACTAATCTTGGGGTCGAGAGGGAGAGAGATAGAGACCGAGTCCGGACACTCAGTCCTGGTTCAGTTCTGGTTTGGTCCTGTTTTACACATGGTTTAGATCTGTTTTAATCCTGGTTTAGTCCTGCTTTAGACCTGCCTTAGACCTGCTTTAGTCCTATGACATATCATGTAAAGAGACAGAATAACAATAAATGTTGCCTAAATAAACCCAGTTTAAAATCCACCAGAGCCAAACCTAAGGTTTTTTTTTAATAATTCAAGACTTACAGTGAATTTTTACATCACTAAATATATCGGTGATTATATCAGCTATCAGCAGCTCCAACTCCCATTATATCGGTATAATATCGGCAACAACAAAATCCATATCGGTCGGGCTCTAATATTCAGTATTGGCAACGATTCCCGAGATCGAGGATTTAAAGCCTGAACAAAGAGAATGTTTGGTGAATTTTATCAAGGAGAAAGACGTTATTGTCCTTCTTCCTGCGGGATTTGGGAAAAGCTTAATATACCAGTTAGCCCCGTTAGTGGAGCATTACGTATGTCACGACCAAATAGCAGCGATTGGTTAAGTAAAAAAAGTACCCGCCTACTGTCGAGTGAACGAATCCTAATGCTGCGAGGTCGGCTGATGAATCAGGCTAATCATTTTCCACAGTATGGTATAAAAGTATCTATCTCTGTGGAGAATGTTCTGAAGTATGGATTTAACTTTTTATTTCCATGAAATCATTCAAGTAACATGTCATATCCACAAAGTTACATACTGTACCTTGAAATGCATCACATAAAAAAGCACCTTCATAATATTATAATATGTATGTTATTGTCCACAGTGAGCCATGGTCTAAGGCTGAACGTGGAGCAGGACTATGAGGTGGTGCGGCCGCTCAGACTTCACACAGTCAACAAGAGAGACGCAGAGGTGACACTGTGAACATCCATCAATGCAATGACAAATAAATGACATTTTATCAGACGCTGTGTTTGTGCTCCTCAGACCCACAGACCACACAGGGTTAAATACGCTGTGACGGTGAGAGGACAACCACTGGAGCTGCACCTGGAGAGGAACACGTGAGTTACTGCTCTACTTAACAGATCGTGTATTTGGTAACACTTTATAATAACTACACCTTATTTAGCCTTAATAAAGCATGAAGAAAGACTTAATTAATAATAATTCACGCTTAGTAACTACCTGAATTACTACCTGAATTAGCACTTAACTTGCACTTAATTCACCTGTGCTGTAAATAGTTACTCAATACTTCTTAATTACTCATGAACTAACCATTTGCATGTTTACAAATGTATATTTAAGTACACATTTGAGCATTTATTAATGATTAGTAAGCTATGAGAGAATGATTTACTAATAATACAATACAATGATAATTCAGGCAGCTGTTAACTGTTAGTTAAGTCTTTCTGAGAACTTTTCTAAAGTGAAGACTAATTATGTTTATTAAGCATTTGTTAAGGTTAGGGGTGGGCGATATATTGATATTTTAAATATATAGTTTTTAAACTTGATTTTGTTCGCTCGTGTCTCCTTCACTCGTCACTGTCGCCGTGAACGCCGACAGTTGGTGCCAGTGAAAAGCTTCAAGCACCACGAACCTTTTCCACCATTTACAGACAAAACCATCAGCAGCACATCCTCATATTCCACCGAGTCGCGTCCTTTAGCCCGAAAGAAGCTGAACGAGTTGAGCTGCAGGAGAAGTGCTGTGTATGCAAATGAACCATGCGCTTTAAGTTTGGTTTCTGTAAAATGTAAACACACGTGCGCAAAACTACATTAAACACATTATTATCTCAAAATGGCTGATGTGGCTCTAGAGTCGTTATGCTTTATATATTGTAAAGTTTAGCAATGTAAAGTTGTTTTATGCAGAAGATTTTAATGAATAATCTGTTGCAGTGTCACTTGTATAGATTAATTTAGTTTCATAAAGGGTACAATTCAGGGGGACTTTCCAGCCAGTACAACTTTCCAACTGGTTCCCAGTGACTCAATACGGAGATTGTGTGTGTGATATGGCTAAAATTACATTATAATAATTTTCTGAACACTCCTTTCAAGTGGAGTATGTTTAATTCATATGAATATGGTATTAAATGTGTCTGTCTCCATGGAACTTTGCATAATATGTGTTCTTTAAGAGATACTAGAAAAAACACTACACTACAGTTTGCAGTAATATTTTTACTTATTCAACACAAAATGAATATTTTTTTTGATGTATTGAGTTTTTTCAGTCGCAGGAGAGATGATGTCCTTCTCTTCACCACAGATGTTGGGTCAGTTTAGTGTTTTGAAGGTCCAGATGTGGTAGACCTTCTTCTAAACGCAGTAATATGTTGGAGCCATTTTGGTTTTCTGAAGATTGACCTGCTCGTGCTTGTTTTCCGAATCTTAAATAGTCTTGAAAACAGCACCCGGAGACGAAGTGGAATCAGCCTGCCAAAGAAAGACCTGGAGGCTTTCTGGGTCAGTTGGATAATTTCAGCTTCTGTAGCTTCTCCATCCTGGAAGAGCTTCTCTATGTCCTCCAGTATTTCACCATAGTCAGGCAGGTCCTTTTTCAGTCTTTCTAAAATTTCTTTGTCTGTCTCCAGTGCATCTTTTTGGATTTTGCAAGCATCAACTTTGCCTTCTCTTGGGAGGTCAGAGGATATCCATATTGTTCCAACTTCTATTTCTCCTGGAAATTCTGGAGATTCTGGAATCCCTGTATCTCCAGTGGTGGGCAGATCTTTTGCAGACTTCTCAGATCCGCAAAATGACACCTCATCTGGAGATCTAGTGATACATTTGCTGGTGTCGCTACCACTAATAGATCCAATTGAGATGGACGGACTTGCTATGAAAACAATGTTGTCCCCCAAATCCCAGGTGTTGTCATCTGGTTTAGGAAATAATAAATCCATCTCAGTAATTTCTTGGTTGGTCTGTTGTTGTGTTGGTTCAAACTCAGCCTCAGTGACCCACATTAACTCGTGTGAGCCTTTTTTGTGTAGTCATCACCATCAGGTAAGTGCTCCATGGTGATGAATGGGTGATCGAGGGCTTGCGATGGCAGGATCCGCTCCTCCGCGTCCAGTTTAAACATTTTACTGAGCAGGTCATGAAACTGCTCCATATCTCTTTCCTCTTGATGGGAGACAAACATTCTTGAACCTTTAATAAGCTGCTCCAGGTTTGTCGCTGAAGGCTTGTGAAGTGTCATTTTAGAATTCATCCCAGTTGTCTTCCTAATCTCCTGCAGAGTTTTAAGTCTCCACGTGGAGTTTTCCTGAACAAAATACATGGGCGTGTACAACGCCTCGTTCAGGAGCTTCTCTGGTGGAACCCCAAAGAAATGCACAATCTTGTTCAGGAAGTCAAACTCAGAAAAGGCAATGAAATCTGTGCTTCGGACAAACCAGTGAAGGAGACAGCAAGCCACACCCCACATGTCAACAGCCTCCCAAAGTGGAAGACCCAAAGTTACTTCTGGGGCACGGTACGAAGTTGGCTGCATCACCTGTCCAGTTAGATCTTGTCCTGAGTACACTGCCAATCCAAAGTCTATTAACTTGACTTTGAATGGCCTCTCCTTGTGGTTCACCAGCATAATGTTGTCTGGTTTGATGTCCGTGTGCATTACACCAACACAACGTAGACCGTGAAGAGCTGTCAAGAGCTGCTTCGCCATTGGTCTTATTTGGCTCAGCGTGAAACTCTTGATCTTTAGCCAGAGATTGTAGACACTTACGTCTAGCATCTCAAAAGCAAGAGACCCACAGCCATCACAGTCAAAACAGTCAACCAGTTTGACTAGATTGAAGCTGTCTGGGTCTAGCTCCTCCTTGATGTAATTCAGCATCTCCATCTCCCAGTGGAAATTGTTGGAGAAGGTGCCATCATCTTTGAGGCGTTTTAAAGCGACAAGTTCCCCTGTCACTCGATCACGGCACTTGGTAACAGTACCGTAATAGCCCTCTCCGATGACTCCCAAAACCTCGTATTTGGTTTCGGGGTTGGTTTGCGCGAAATCTGTGAAATTTATTGCCGACGACATGTTGTGAAAGTGAAAGTTCACGAGCTTTGCTGAGTGTCTGCGTTCACTGGCTGAGTCTGGGTTGAAATGACCTTTACATACAGTGTGTGTAGAACTGGACTGAAAACTCCATGACAACGATGACTTTAGACTGGTGTTACGTAATCGCATTCTATCCGTTTATGCATATAGAATGGACTAATTAACTAAAATGCAAAAGATGTTTATATTTGATTTGTGTATATAAAGCAACAATCTAATCGCTATGGCAACTAGGGATGGGCGATATATCGATATTTTAAATATATCGATATGAATTCTGACATATCGTATATATCGATATAATGTTTATATTCAATTCTGATTTCGCCGCTTCACTTGTTTGTCTTCTCTCTCGTCGCCTCCGCGTGCCCTCGCCTCCCTGATTTTGTTCGCTCGTGTCTCCTTCACTCGTCACTGTCGTCGTGAACGCCGAAAGTTGGTGCCAGTGAAAAGCTTCAAGCACCACGAACCTTTTCCACCATTTACAGACAAAACCATCAGCAGCACATCCTCATATTCCACCGAGTCGCGTCCTTTAGCCCGAAAGAAGCTGAACGAGTTGAGCTGCAGGAGAAGTGCTGTGTATGCAAATGAGCCATGTGCTTAAGTTTGGTTTCTGTAAAATGTAAACACACGTGCGCAAAACTACATTAAACACATTATTATCTCAAAAATGGCTGATGTGGCTCTAGAGTCGTTATGCTTTATATATTGTAAAGTTTAGCAATGTAAAGTTGTTTTATGCAGAAGATTTTAATGAATAATCTGCTGCAGTGTCACTTGTACAATAGTGTTTGGAAACGTTGGGTTTGATCTGCAGTGGATTGTGGGATTAAACCTCAGAGCTCCTGATGCTGGAACATGGATCTGTTAAAATAAGGAACATCCTGAGCTTCTTCTGCTAAAAGAGCTCATGGTTCTGGTTCTGGTTTGGATAAGAGAGTTAATGCAAAGATGAGCTTGTGTTGAGTTGTTTTTTATTTATGAATGAAAAGAAGGAAATATGTTTTATTTCTTTTATTTTACAGTTATTATTTATTATTATTTTTTGTAATCTTAAATGTTCCTATATGAACTGCCGACCTCTTACACTTCAATTAAAAAAAATAAAAAGACCTTGTGGAATTTGGCAGATTTGTTTTTGCAGTTTTCAGTTTTAGGGGATTATTTTTTCTTGAACATATATCGAGATATATATCGTATATCGAGATATAGCAAAATATATCGAGATATATTTTTTGATCCATATCGCCCAGCCCTACTGCTTGCCATGAACATAATTTGTAAGCAGCAACACAAGAAACTAAGAAAGCTACAGAATTTGTTCAAAAATCATTCAGAATCACTTTTGGGAAGGTCTTACATATTTCAGTGAAATACATAGTTAAGATAAAATCGTGAAATGATTGCAGCACTCACTCCTACTCACCAGAGGCGAGGTGTGTGCTTCACTTGTCCACTATTCCTGATGAGTAATTTGACACACTGTATTTACTCTGTTTGTGTGTTTGAGATCACATCTTTTTTTTTTTGTATGTATGAACAGATTTGTTGAGATATATTGTAACTTGCGTGTGTGTATGATATATATACAATAAACAAAAAAATGTTTTAAATGTATATAGATTAATTTAGTTTCATAAAGGGTATAATTCAGGGGGACTTTCCAGCCAGTACAACTTTCCAACTGGTTCCCAATGACTCAATACGGAGATTGTGTGTGTGTGATATGGCTAAAATTACATTATAATAATTTTCTGAACACTCCTTTCAAGTGGAGTATGTTTAATTCATATGAATATGATATTAAATTTGTCTGTCTCCATGGAACTTTGCATAATATGTGTTCTTTAAGAGATACTAGAAAAAACACTACACTACAGTTTGCAGTAATATTTTTACTTATTCAACACAAAATGAATATTTTTTTTTGATGTATTGAGTTTTTTCAGTCGCAGGAGAGATGATGTCCTTCTCTTCACCACA